GGAAGCCTGTTCCAGTGTTTACTTGGAACATAAGTTATGGGGAAGAAATGGGGCCACCAAGATACAGCAAAGCAGTCAATTCCATGGTAGAAATGGTGGATCTTTTGATTCTTGGAAAAATAAACTTACAAAATATTGTACTAAATCGATTCCAGGTCAGCCTGTAATTAACAGGATATCTCATCCCTCTCAAGGCTATTACTTCAAACTGTGCAAAACTGTAGTAGCTGCTTAACTTTTCAAATCACTAACAGAATTATAGTACTTATTGACACTATGTTGCCTTTTCCATCAACGTCATGTGAAAGATTCAAATGGAATTATTCATAACACTCATAGGATCTAGGAACATTGATATATAGGGTATGTTACAACAAGAGAATAAGGGAGTTACCTGTTGGCAGAGTGTGTCTAGCCGTTGAAAACAAACTTATTTCCTATATTCAATTAAGTATTTCCAACAGAGAACAAACTAACTATATACTTACGGCATGGAGTGTTTTGTCTGTTCACAAGTTGTGGGAATGCAAAGATAGCTGACAACTCCAGTTCATGGTTTTGATTTTGTTCTTTTTCTTCAGTCTGGTCAGCCCAAACTACTGATTTTTGTCTTTGAATCAGCTGCTCAACCTCTGCAAATTCAGTCTCAGATAAATTATTTATCAACCCAGCTTCTTTCAAAGTCAGATACTGCTTGCGAAGAACTGGAAGCAAAGTATTTAGTACTCTGTAAAACAACAGAAGGCAAGACAAATATGACTAAATCATAACTAATCTGATCCTTACTAGCACTGCCACTATTAGGAATACAAGGGATATTTTTTTGCCCTTCTTCACCTCCACAAGTTGTGCTGTGCAATTTATTTTAATTTCTTTTCGGGGAATACCATAACACTGAGAGGAAATTTTCATGACTAAGTAGAGTGATTTTTCTCTTTTGGAAAATCTTGTATTTCACTGTAAGCATTTACTAAGTATAGTTTTTCCTCAGTGTCCAAGATCTTCAGTCCCTCAAACACTACAGAAATACAGTCACTACATCTTGATTGAATTCTCACTTCCTAAAATTAAGTATCAGATAAAAGAAGAGTATAAACCAAATAATGCGGTTTAAACGAAGCATCTTAATTAGATGTGTATAAAACCTTATTAGAAGCCCAGTCCAAATAAATTTAGATACTAGGATCTTTAATTAAAGGAATACATTAAGATCCACACACAACTGCAAACCAAAGTGACAAAAGTTTAGGAATTCTATCTGAACACAGGAATTGATTAACTGTGGAGTTCACTGCAAGACTAAACAGTAGGTTCAAGCAATAGGGAAAGGGATATGTATATAAAAACCCAAAGAAGCAACTTTGTAATTACTAACAATGTAGCTTTAAAAATTTTGCTTTCAGTTTTGAAGGTTTATATATTAGCTTTTGTAATGTTTATGGTAACAGCCTTTTCTCCAAAGAAGGAAGGAAAGTTGGTTATTTCATTTTGGAATGATTTAATTATAAATTTAGCGTACTTATTTATGGAACAGATTTGAGATTACTTCCTATTCCTTATGTTACACTCTGAAAGCTAGTTTCAACATTTTCGAGAGACTGATAATAGAAAAAAAGCTGATGCTTACCTGCAAACTCAGCTTTTTTCAGTCTGACTAGCTATATAAGAGTTTAATGGTAACAATTTTTAATACAGGTAAGTTAATATCTACAGTGCAAGGACTTAAAAGAGAACACAAACACTTACAGAAATATCAGTGCTGCTATTCAACACGGAAGAGGAAAATAAGACACCATGATCTATTGAACAATTTGTAAAAACTATGCAAAGAAGAAAATTAAATAGAAACAAGAAGCACTAGAGTATCCCTGCAGTTTCTGTTAAACAATGGTGGATACAGACCAATATTTATGAAGTGATTATTATTTTACATATCTTTTTGCTTAAGAAAACACAATTCTAACCTAGGAAAAAAAAGTTTGAGAAAAATCTTGCTTCTGTTTCAACTAAAACTAAATTCTATAGATATGTCTTCTGAAGTTACAAATGTCAGAACAGAAGTCTTATTAGGCCTGCTATGAAACCGTACTTACTTTTCTGTCTGCTTATAGTGCTGATCTTGAAGGGACACCAGAGATAACATGTGCTCAATCTGGGCTTTCAGGTCCTTAACTTCTAGGTTTAAATGGCAACACTGCAGGTCTTCACAGAGTTCCTTGGGAAATTAGCAAGAAAAAAACCCAAACAACTGGACATCAAACTGAAAGCGAGAAACTAAAATTTAAACTAAAAATAATATTAATATGTCCTATATTGAAAAGTAAAGATGAAGTGGATCTGTATTATTATAATAAAGTTTTATGGTAAAAAATGTATGAATTGTTTGATTCTTACTTACATGCATAAATATTGCTTTGTAGATTTCCTTTGATCAATAGTGGGTGTGCTGTAATTAGCATTAAGAATCCGAACAGGCACACATGCATGCTTACCTATGCATGCCCAAAAATATGCTTGCCCTTTTTCCTGTGCACTTGCTCCATATCTGAATTTCAGCAACAATGTCTAGGACAAGTCTTCACTGTATTCAGTCATTGTCCTGAGATGCCAACATTTTGTTTGAAATATCTTAATTTCTTCTAAGGTATCAAATTTTAGTCATCCCAATAAAAATACAGGTATTGAAATATATTCCATTATAGAAGTCACATAAGTGCTCATTATACTATCATTTAAGCCACTACAATTGCTAGCTGAAACAAAAAGGCGGGGAGGAACAACCCCCCACCTTTCTTTTCCTCTTCTTCCTGCACAGACCTTCATCCCTTCCTTTCTGCCAGGCTCTGGTGCTTATCAGAGGCTGCAATGAGCTGACTCTACTTGGTAAGACTTGGCAGAGAACACCGCTTCCCACTTCTTTCCCCCTTCCCACTCCTCCCCTAGCACACTCCAGAAAAGAAGTTTTTTTTGGCCAGACTAAGAATTAGGTTGTCACATGGTTAGACGAGCATCAGGAGCTACTGTAAAGGCAAGACTATAAGTGTATGACCAGGAGCAGGATCAACTCTCTGGCAGCCAGCTGAACTGTCTGGCCATATCATACTTATTCCCCTTTAGCATGCTTTTTTGTATGTAACTGTATACTTTCATGAACAAGGAATACTTGCACCACAAACAATGAATTGCTTTTAGGGCAGAAGAACGGAAACAGCTAACACTAGAATTTGAAACCACCCTGAAAGAATTAAAGCAGAAGCCATGAGTAGAAACAAGATGAAGGGGCGGGGGGCAGAATCTATTCTTAACTATAGTCAGATGTTGCCTACAATGCATGAGATCTGCCCTGGAACTGAAAAGCATTTTACCTTTGGAATACACCCATCTTGACCCAGGAGTCGCATTTCATTTTCAACACGATGCAGCCAATTGGTATTTTCCTCAAAATGTTCGACCTCCTCCTCTTTCTTCTTCTGCATGTGTACACGGTGGGTTCTAAGCATTGCAAGCCTTTGATCCCGCTTGCAAGTGGCCTAAAAATCAGCATTGAAGGGGAAAACTTTCAAATTATGTTCACAAATATCTCTATGTAAAAATAGATTTTTTTTCCATACTTTTATACTCAACTGGGCATAACAAACATTTTGTATTTTTAACCAGTTTAATAAAAGAGAAGTAGCACATTCTCCTTATGGGCAATACTAAATTGTATTTAAATATTTTAAAATTATTTTTCCTGGAAGCCCTTATAACAGAGAATATAGTAATTTGATTGATTATTCCTTTAAAGGATATTACATTGGATTTGATCAATTTCTGTTCTAGGCCATAATTATCTTAAGTTGGAAAGACTGGAAAAACTACACATACACAAACACACTTCTAGATACAACATAACCTAATAATTTCTAGTAACTCAAGCATGAATATGAAGAAGGAATTTTATCTGCTTTGTTTTCCTAATGCAGTATGTCCTAGACAAAGCCCACTAAAGGATAAAGTATTTGGCAAAAGAAAAACCCTCTATCTTCAAGCATCAAGATTCTTCTGATGCTTCTCTGAAATCTGACAAAAAGGCACAAAACCAGCAACAGCAAGCTGGATATGAATGAGGTAGTGTCGTAACAAGGCAAAGGAGACCGACGATTCAGACGACAACTAAGTTTGCAGTATATTTGAAAAATTAGGTCACTAACTCAACTAGTCATAGAGAACATTTAGATAGACTTCACAGAGTTCAGCTATGTCTAAATTTTAGTTAGTTAAAAAAACCCAAAAAACCACAAATATTTGAAGTATATTGCTACACTCAACAAAAACAACATACAGAACCCAGTTAGTTTTTTTAAAATTCTATAACCTAAATCTCTACATCCATATGTTCCAAAATTAACACTGTAAATTAAAACTTAGAATAAATATATAAATAAAAAACTATATAATGTATATATAATATAA